TATTTAAGTAAAGGATGTGTGTACTTGTACATGTCCACTCCACGTGTCTGAGGAAAGAGTGTGTCGTAAGCTCCACGCTCTGTAAATTCCCCTCAGACATATGTGTCATTTCATTTGTGATACTGGGCTATATAAATACAATTTGATTTGAATTTAAACAGTACAATTTATAGAAGGACTCATTCAGAATTGGCTCATTAGTTGGAACCAACCGTGAATAAAATCAAATGGATGGACAGTGGCCTTTTTCCATTTCATTGTCCATCACATTTCCATTACCATACATTATTTATGGTGCTGAACATGGACACTTGGATTATGGGCAACATTATAGCCTCTCACACACAGCCCAGACTACATTAATGTAGGACACAGGCACATACATGTTTTAACTTAAGCTATAATTATTTATAGCTAGTTTTATTTTAGTTTTTAGCAGCTCTATAGCTCGCGAGTCAGTTGCTCGTCCATCCACACTTTGGCGGACACAGGTTTTCCCCCTGGAGTCTCAAATGTGTCTTGGATATCAAGTTGTTTGTGCGTGTGAAACATGAAAGCATGGATTCTTGCGTGTTCGCTTCCATTTGGGATTTTTTTTTTTACATCATTATGATATGTGTTCAGTTCCTCTTCCCTTTTGGACAAATGGAAGTTTTTCAAAGAGAAAACACTGTAATGGCGGGGACCTAAAGCAGAGTAAGAAGGGAATTGCTTCATTGGTATTTAAGGTTCCTGAGGCCTTTGTCCTCTCAGGTGTGAGTGATGGCAGACAGTTAGATTGGGAAAGGGTATTCATGACAGGGTTAAATATTGAATTGGAGTTCAGAGCAGATCAGTGCCGGAAGTCTGTTTGCTAATTTGTCTTCAGAGGACCACACTTCTCTTCTCTGCCTTTCTAATATTCACTCTTCCTCCTCCTCTTCCTCTCCCTCCCCAGCACTCATCTCTCTTCAAATTCACCCTTCATCTTTCTTTCTTACACTTCCTTTCACTCTTGTCATATTCCCTTGTCTTTCATTTTGCCCGTCCGCTCCTGACCCTTTCTTCTCTGGAAATGTTAGTTGAGTTTCTTACCAGTGTGTTACATGTCACCTCCAGAAGGTAATACAGCCCTAATGGCCTTTGAGATTGGCACAGTTATATCAAAAAAGCTTTGTTTTATGAACACTATATGACTAAAATATGATTTATAGACCCAGTTAAACGTCACCATGAAATGTAGATGTGCAGTTAAGAAATAACAGATTTAAAATAGACCTTTGAAAGATATCTCATGCAAAAAGAAACTGCTTAATATTTCAACAATCAAAGTAAGTCCTAATTGTCCTTCAACTGAGTGCAGGTTATTGAGTCTTTTCTCTGTGGTAATAGTGGATTAAGTCAATTGGAAAAACTTTTGCTAATGGAAAATTGATATCTAACATTTTCAATATTCTTTCCTTAATGTCTTAGTTTTATGTATATTGTTTGCACACAATAAATGCTTTCATGAAGTTTCCATTACTATTCTAAACTTGAAGAGACTGCCAAGGCACACNTTTTCTCTGTGGTAATAGTGGATTAAGTCAATTGGAAAAACTTTTGCTAATGGAAAATGTATATCTAACATTTTCAATATTCTTTCCTTAATGTCTTAGTTTTATGTATATTGTTTGCACACAATAAATGCTTTCATGAAGTTTCCATTACTATTCTAAACTTGAATAGACAGCCACTGTTGTTGTGCAGTCGAGCAGTGCTTCAAGTGAACTAAGAGCTAAGTACACTCCCATTCATTTTTTTTTAATGGGAGTTCAAACAATTATAATGGGTAAGAATGTGAAAGGAAGCCGAGGATTAAAGTGACGGAAATTATTCTTTAATTTGGCAAATGTTCCACTAGGTTAAAGACGGACCTTGTCTTATACTTGTGAAACCCATGAATTAGGCTGTTATTGATACTATTCTT